CTAAGGGAATACTGAAATGCACTTTATACACAAACTACGTAAAAAAATAATAATAAATCGTCAGAACGCGAGATTATATAAATGAGCTCGAACGTTGGTTGTGGTGGAGGAGGGGCCTGAACTGGTGTAGGGTGGTGATTTGTGGTTTGTTTTTTTTTTGTTTACTTCTTCAAAAATCTACTTACATGATCCGCCCCTTTTTCGGCGTTTTGTTGTGAGAGGCCGGGCTGTACAACGTTCGGACTGCCCGATTGGACAGTTACGGCGACGAGGGGCGTGCCGCTCGTCGTTTGTATCCGCACCGGACTATTCTGACGCACGTGCTGCCCTTGTAGGGCTGCGGACACGTGCGTAAGAATGGTCTGCTGGTTCTGGGCGGAACCTTGTACCTTTATACCGGTCAATGCTCCGGCCAACGTGGAAGACGTTTGGGGCCTTATGGTCGTAGTAATACCGCCCTGCGAAGCCTGTACGACCTAAAACAAATGGAGATGGTCAAAACTCGTTTTGTCCGAATTCATACGATGATGCAACAAATAATAACCATAATCTAATAAATGTGGATTTAAACTTATTCCATACACAAAACTTTCAAGATAATTATATGATATACTACAGGTGTTAATAATTATGCTTTTACAAAACCCTTCACCCTGCACAATCAACCTTAACCCATTTTCAGTTACACATTACATAATTATATAAATAGTAAAAACTACCAATCGTTTTTTTAATTGCCAAAAATTAACTAATATTAATTGGAAATAAATCTAATAATGAAGATAATTCTTGAGTATTGCAATTAATCACACAAAGAATTTAATTTATAGTAGGTAAATTTGTCCTTTTTTAAAAGAGATAATCAAATGCTTATGAGAATAGCAAATAATACAACCACCTAGGAAATAGTACAACTTTGTTATATAAAAGCATAATTAATAAAAACTGTACCAATAAGATTGTGACAAGATTGTGAATGAAGTAAATTCGGTGTATGTGTAGTATAGCCAATTGGGGTTAATTGAAATTTGATGGGCGATGATAAACTAGGTGATAAATTGACAAGTTGATCATCGCTTTATTTTTTTGGTGATAGTATGTATGATTAGTAACAGTTGTGGTGGTGGATGGATTTCTTAATTTTAAGATAATATACAATTATTCTCTATTTTCAACATTGGCGTGTGGAAATTAAGACTACGGGAATCGGTAAACGACTACAACAACCCAAAAATATAACAACGAAAAAAGTAATAGTAATAATAATAAAAGTAATAAACAATAAGAGAATTATTGTATTTATATCTTACCAACTGCTTGTATTTTCTTACTTGAATGGTCGGTTTTGTCCCCTGACCGTTAAGTGGTATAACACGGGGGGGCGGACCTTTGGCAAGTAAAACGGGCCCTTGGTTAATGGGCGCTCGCATCGCCTGATGCAACTGCTGCACGGTCATCGCCGTAGACATGGGCTTCGAGCCGACGATCAGCTGAGTCGCGACGCCGCTCTTACCGGCAACCTGGGCGATACCCGCAATCTTCGAGTTGGCAAGCTTCTTCTGAGCTAGAATCTGCTGATGATGGATCTGCAGCGTGCGCAGTTGCTGCTGAGGAGTCGCCTTCAAGCCCTGAGATAAAGCCTTCACAGGTGTCCCGATCACAGTTTGCGTGACACCAGCGCTCGAGACTGCTTTGACTAAAGTAGCAACCTGAGTTCCAGACGGACCTGCTTGTAAGGCTTGAATCACCTGAGGGCTCAGACTATGCATGGACGCCCCATGCTGTCCAGCGACGAACTTCTGAGCGATATTCTGTCTCTTGATCAACTGCGCCATCTCAGATTCAGTTATAGTCCTAGGCAGCATGCCTTGCTTTCCGGAAACAGTCACCGTTCCCGGTTTTATATACTGAGTCTTCTGTTGCGCTTGTGTGAATTGTACCTGCACAGCTGGTTGACCAGCTATAGTCACGGTGGTAGTCTTCACACCTTGCGCAGCCAAGCTTCCGGACTGAAGCCGAAGTTGCTGTTTTAAACTAGCTTGTCTGATTAGGTGCAGTTGCGCTGGACTTATACTCTTTGCGGACACCGTTCCCGCAGGGCTAACGACCGTAGCCTTCGCTTGACTACCAGTTCCTGAAACAATCAGTCGCTGGGTCGCGTTTTGCAATTGCGCCGGTGTTATTCCTGAAACAGAAACGACCGTCGAATTCTGCAGAGGCGACGCTACTATCCTTTGAGCTCTCAAGGTGGTCGGCGGGGTGTTAGGAGTCACAGTTGACGAAACAATGGCGGGAGCGGAGGTTTGAACTACAGTTATTTGAGGAGACGGAGATGATGAATGCACCGGACTCGCTGTTGATGCTGAAGCAGAGGAAGAGGAAGCCGCAGCTGCGGCGCTCGCATTCTGAGCAGCACGCATCATCTGGATCTTTTGGGCCATTTCCGGTGTAATCTTCTTTTCTCTGGCTGTACGCTCCGCCCTTCTGGCTGCTACCTCCACCGGTAAAATAGGATGGTCTATATCGATACCAGCATCGCTCAATATCATCGCGTGCTTTGGGTTTTTCAGCAACGGATTGCTTACTACAGGCTTCGCAATGCTGGTCTTCTTCGTCGATACCAGCGTCATCAAAGTATCATGCCTTTGTGTAATCAATTGCGTGAAGCTTATATTATTGTCCTGCTGGTAGAGCTGTGATGTGCACATAGGTCTACTATTCGATTTGTTCGGGATGGGGAACTTATACACGTTCTGTCCCTTTTGGTTCTTTTTCTTACGCGGTGATGTATCCATAGCCTGCTTGCCTTCCTCCCTATCAACTAGAACATTTTCATAGCGATTCCGGCACTGCTTCGGGGATCGATAGGCAATCGACACTGTGTTTACGTAATCCGCAACGAAATCCCAATTGAGCGTGTGACCCGCCTGTCTGATCATAAGATTTAGAGCAGAACCTTGATAAGTCTGAACAACCTTCAGAAGAGCGTTATCTTCGTGAATAGTCCAATTGTGCAAGCACGGAGGTTCGATCGACGGCTTCACCGTCGGATACTTAACACCCGGCACCGGCCCAGTTGACTTATAAATAGTCCCCCTGAATTTGTGTAACCTGACATCGCTTCTTCGGATCTTCAACAACGTAGGTGAAGGTCTTTCGAATAGCGAACGCGGCGGATACGTGCTTTCCTCTTTCCGAATCTTGACGGCACCTCTACGTGGATCTGGTAGACCTGCCTCTGAGCGAGTTCTCTTAACTTCCTTCTTTACATATGGCGGAGGCAATTGATTTTCAGTCATGACACCGGTGTCGTATAGGAATGACATGGTCTGATCAAGATACATATCGCCATCTTGCTGCGGAGGAGTCGGAGGACACCACATCTAAAAAACAAGATTTGTTAATCACCAAAGAACAACGAGTTTATTTTTTTATATTTTTGGTTAAATTCAACCTTTGCAAGACAACATTTTGCATTCGCATTTTAACAAACGATTGTCCTGCATAGGTGAAGAGTTCCCCCAGACGACTTACCGGCATTTGCTCGTTGGTATTATCGCATACCCAAATCTGTAACGCAATTGAAATCGAAATTATTAACTGTTGACGAAAAGTGAGAATTGCGGGAGGTTAGAGTTCGAGGATGAAGAGGTGAATATATGCAAGGATACATACCGTGAAGTGTGTTCAGATATACTCTCCGGAGGGATGTTTTTTTTTAATTAGGATTTGTAGAGATGGGGGAGGAGGGGGGTTTGTAAAAAGGGCGTAGGTTATAAAGAAGCCCACTTGCTCTTGTGTCCAGCGGGGCAGTGTTTTGGTGCCCGCTGCGGCACGCCGGAGCAAGATGGCACCAAAACCTACGCCCACCCCGCTTCTCGCGAAATCTTTTCGAATTCAACAATTCTTGAAACAATAGTAACACATGTGCAAGAGAACTTCTTTATTTATTTAATATTAAATTATGTATGTACAATCTTAAACATTTAACAGAACATAGCACTGAGATTACGTACGAATCATAACCGAAGATGATTCAAAATGCGACTGCAAGAAGAGGAAAAAAAAAGTGGCGAAAACGAAAAAAAAAATAGTAAAATAAATAAATTATTTCGTATGACAATTGCGTGAAAAAAAATAATTAAATATATGTATAGAGATTAAAAAATAACGATATGAATAGATTTTTAAATAAAGAAGTAGTCGCATTTTCAATCATCAACTTTCGGGCAGAAAACCCTTCCAAATTAAATTGAGCAATCAAGAGAGAAGCGAGCCGAAAACTACTATCTGTGTATGGAATGTGTGGTGAGAATTGCGATTGTTACCCTTTTTATTTTTGATTGATCGGGTCTTCAATATTTCTTGTAGCTGTTATATAAAAGTCCTAATTTTATAATAATTTTATACTCAATCTATTCTTCTTAAGTGCCAACTTAATTTGAAAGAGTTAACAACATGTTTCTTTCATGGTAATATACTGTTCCTGAACAAATCACACATTCATACCAGAATAATTTACATTCTCATTTATACACAATAAAAACATTACTCATTTCTTGTTTGCATCCAATTCTCATCATTCCTTCCTTCCTGTTCCAGTTTCAGTTTTCCTGTCTGCCATCGTTTAGTAAAAAAACTATAAACTCTACTATTTTTTAATATGTACAGAATTTGGTTGACAAATGGCCAAGCAACCAAACCAAGTGAATCACAAAAATATTTCGCGTTTCGGTGAACGTCCAAAAGTTACTATTTGTATTATCATTATTATTATTTTTTTCTCAATCATTATTAATTATATAACAGCCTATTTATTTTGTTTCAATATTACCGTCATTCGGTTTTAACCATTTTAATGCAATTATCCTCATCGTCACTACCGGGGCACTCGCTTTTATTAAGTAACTCGTTTGATTCGGCGGGTATCGCATTTTCCTCATCGTTGTTTTGCGGGGGCGGCGATTTAGTGGACAGCCACACATCGAGCGTACTATTGTTTGACATATGATTGACACCTTTGAAGAGTTTTCCTTTCGAACCATCACGATTTCGTTTTAACACCCTACGTTTGCTCTCAACTACTGTAGCCGATGATCTATTGCTAACTGTATATTTATCTATCTCCCCAGATGCCATTATATCACTAACGAACACGCTGCACTCTCTCAAAGTTTCTTCGGCATTATCACAATTATTGACGCTCTCATTCACATCCTCGTCGACGTGATTCATTGAAGCACCTTTCGTATCATCATCATCATCAGTTTTATTAATACTTGGATCGGAGCCAACTGTTTCAGTGCTGTCATTACAAATTTCAGTCCCGCAGTCCTCCTCTTTATCCACCTCGTCTTCGCGAGTTTCGATTTCGTGCTTTTCATCCTCCACACCTTCCGACGATTGCGTAACCACCTCGCCACCTACGGTGCTGCTGGTGTCATCGTCGACTTGGCTGAAGGAATCCGATATACTCTGCGAGTCGTTTGTGGAATTATCATCGCCATTCTCTTCGATTACAGTATCAGTCTTGCTACATGAATCGTCATCGGCTGCCGAAGAAATGATGAGCTCCGCTTTCTCCATGTCACCTTCTTGTAATATGATCTTAGTATCAGTCTTATGATTCATCATTACTTTATTGGCTATCTGAACTTTCCGCCTCACCGCCCTCTTTGGTCTACTACTTTTCAAATCGTCATCCTCATCTATAATCTGCTTTAGATTTTTCTTTTTCTGCACAGGCTTCGCAACGACGTTCTCTTTCTCCTTGTCTTTATCCAGGTCCTCGGAAGAGTTGCTTCTCTTCAGCACACTCTTCACGGGTTTCACGCCTGGAAGGATAGGACTTACATCTAAAGTCCACAGATTTATAGCTACAGTTCCCCTGGACCGTGTCCTTGGTGAATTATGATCGACCCTGTTAATGAATGGAGTCTGTTGTAGAGGTTGCGAATCAGGATCCGAACTATCATAGTTCGAGTTCTCCGATTCGCTTTGAGAATTTTCAGTTCGACTGTTCTCGTCTTCTTCATCATCATCATCGTTGTCATCATCATCATCTTCTACTTCTTCATTATCATTATCTTCTTCATTATCGTTATCATTATCACCTTCATCATCATCCTCCTCATTATCATTTCCGTTCAATTCATCCTCAGAAAATTCAGTTTCACTTTTCGTCACACTCTTATGCCTCAACCTGTTCGAAATTCGTTTACCTTCTGATTGCGTCGCATGTGGCGACGACGAGTTTACTTGTTTATTGGCTGCTTTATTTCTAGTTACGTTCGCCCTTTTTACTACTTTTTTATTATCTGGTTTTACTTTTTTAATTTTGCTGACCTGATTTGTTGCATCCTCCCGTGGGAAAGTGAGCAACTCGCTCTCCTCCTCCAGTTCCCTGGCTCGACGCAGCTCCTCTTCCTTCATGGCAGCTATTCGATTCTCCTCCCATTCCCGTTTCTGATCTTCAATTTCACGCTCTGCTGCTGCCAATTGCTCAGCAGACCAAGCGGCTTCAGTTTCTTCGATGAACCTCATTGCGTACCGTTCAATTGGTGTCAGCTGTAAACATAACAATTACATAAACACCACTTCGCTACAACTGAAACAATATTAACTAACAAATCATAATATATGTTCACGGAGTTCTAGGAACTCAACAAAACTAAGTATTTTGCAGCTTGCTGGCTCCGTGATGACTTTTTTTATTGCATTTTGTGCAAACAGCCCACTACATGATCGCGAACCGTTTTATTATAAATGCTTATTAAATTGTATTAAAAATCATATTATAAACGAGTAGATTTACCTGTTTCACGAGATTTTCCACTTCTTGCTCTGCCTTACTGATCTCAGGTTCCTTATCCTTTTCTTGATCTTCCAAAGGTATATTCTCATCGAATTCCGCTAAATCTGCAACAGCTTCGGCCTTCGCAGTGCGTGCCGCTATCACATCTTGGTCATCTTCGCACGCTGCCAAAGCACTTTCGAGCGCACCCATTGCAGTTTTCTCATCATTCGAATGGTTATTCTCCTCTGAAGCCTTCTCACGTTCTCTACTAATTTCAACAACTTCTGACATCCTATTTGCGGCACTTTCTTCCGTTGCATCAATATTAAATATATCTTGAATCGTTGTCTATAATAGAAAAAAGATTAATACCAAAATCGCATACAAATTTTAAATTGAAACTTACACTTTTGAAGTACGCTGTGGTGAAGTTTCCTCCTTCGATAGCTAAATCACCTAACAAACGTTTCTGATTTGCTTTCTTGAGAATATTTTCTTCAATAGTCATTTCACTAACAAGTCTGCAAAGTAATTTATCATTAATATTGATATACTGAAGAGTTGTGAGTGTTTTATGTAATTACCTGTAAATATGGACATCTCTCGTCTGGCCGATACGATGGCATCTGTCTTGAGCTTGAGCATCCATAGTTGGATTCCAATCGGAATCGTAAAATATCACAGTATCTGCTCCGGTCAAGTTGACACCAACGCCGCCTGAACGGGTGGACAAAATGAAGGCGAATATCCTTGCATCTCCATTAAAGCGTTCCATCAATATCTAAACCAAACGAAAAATCAAATGTTAATGAATTATAACAAAAATTAAATGAAGAATTAAGCTTGTTTGAATAATGTCCACGAAGTTCTAGAAAGCTAGCAAAATGATTATTTGCTGCTCGCTGGCAACGTATTTTATTCTTGCACTTTTTCAAAAATTAAATTACCATAGAAAAGGTAAATAATTGATCGTAAATGCTTCCTTTTTTTAATATAAAATAATTCGTTTACTAACCTGTCGCTGATCTATTTTGGTGGATCCATCCAATCTCAGATAAATATGACCATGAAAATTGAGAAAAGCTTCGAGTACATCGAGCATTTTCGTCATTTGCGTGAAGATTAAAACTCGATGACTGCCATACTTCAATTTCCTTAACAAACGATCCAATCTTTGCAATTTACCACAGTCGTATTGTATAAGTCTGGGATGAGGGAATTGAGTGACCATGGCTGAAGCGACTTGATGGAGCGGCGTCGTCGGTTCCATAAGCTCTTGAACCAACATTTTCTTCTCGTTGATCCTACCCCAGTACAGACTGGGATGAGGATTCCAAATTTGAAGTTCAGGCTCTGGAGCATGAACGGCAGGTACGTAAACAATATATCTATTGAAAATGTCAGTCAACTCTTCTATCCTCTGGACAGGTGTATAGATGAGTTCCTTGAGAGCGTCAGTTGTGCAATCGATTTTTCTACCCCATTGCACGTTCGAGCAATGCCTCAAACCACCAACCCACGATTTATGGTTCGGTAAACTCAACACTTGCATCCCTTCAATAAAGTCCTTTCCGTAAATGGGAACCGCGCTGCATCGGGTTTGATTCACACGCGCAATCAGATTCAGTTTCATCCTGTGGTTTTCCTCAGAATTTTCCTCACTCTGATCCATTTTCTAAGAAAAATGATAAAGTTAGATGTATCCCTTTTGTTATATTTATTAGTTTAATACACTTACTTCTTCTTTGATGTCCAATTTATCGTCGGAGTTCTGCCACCGAACATCCAAGTTCCTAGTACTTTTGGAATTGTGCAAGTATAGTTTCTCTATGAATTTTGTGCCGACCGTTTTCCGGCTTCCATTGTCGTCAAGTTTATTTTCTTCAGAAGACTGTAAAGAAAAGTAAGTTTAAGTTAAGCGTTTCATTACGAGTTTTGCTAGGATTAAGGATTTTGTTTGCAACTCAGTTAATTACCATAGCGGTTGATGTTAAGGAAGTCAACTGTACCTTTACTATAGCTTTAGCAATAGAAGGAGAAGGTGTGGCATTCGCCGTGGTTGCAACTGGCTGCTTCGATAATACTGTCAATTTTTGACCACTAGATGTCCTCACTGAAAACCAAAATTTATATTAATCAAGAGATCAAAATAATTCTAAATTATAGATTAGCTTAATGTAAAAGTAGAAGAAAAAACTAGTACGTTAGTAAAACATTTAAAATGCAAAACAATGCTTACGTAGGAAATTTTCTCTACTTCTAACGTGACATAACTAAAAATGTATTATTAGAATTAGCGTCCGATGATAATCTTCAAGAAATGTCAAATCGTGTTTGTTATAACATACCTGTTGTCGTCGTTCCTGAAATCCCGATGTTATTCGCGTTCAACGTTGGTGTGAGCAAGATGTGTTTGCCAGTAGAGGTTTGGACTAATTGTGCGAATCCTGGGATCGGGATATTTGATATCCCACCAGATGATTGCGTGGTTGCGCTTGACCCGGCGATTTGCAAAGCTTTGATCATCCCGTAAGACTTCCCCAGGATATTCAACTTCTGATTAGTTTGGTTTTGCTGAGCTACAACCGGAGGTGGCGCTGGTACCACCTTCTCCTCTTCTCTCATCTCTGCTTTGATGGCTTTGTTCACGTTGTTCTTGTGCACCTTCAGACTCAACCTGGATGGTGGACAAGGGGGAGTCTGTTCCACTTCGGTCGCATCGATCTCTTCGATCAACTTCTTTGGTGTACAATACTGACGCAATCGGTAACACTGATACGCGCTGTAGTTGTATTCCAACTGCAGCAGATTCAGGTTCAGAGAGTTCAAATCAATATCCTTGAAAGAAAGAAAAATACAGAATTAACGTTATGTTCAACCTCGATAATATCAAATATTTTTTTTAATGGAGCAATGTTGAAATCCGGATTGAGGGCATAAGTTTGGTATACAACTTTGACCTCACCTAGGATTACATCTTTAATCTCCTTCCAAAGAAACAAAACCGACAACCAATCGAATATGTTATCCGTGTATGTTTTGAAAGGTACAATTGTTATATGAAAAAAAAAATGATCGAGGGAAACTCTTACCTTCCAGACATCATAGGAAAGAGCTGAATAGATTATTGATGGTATGTGTTCTAGAATGCCTTCGCAATGGAACGGAGATATCGTAGGTCTGACTTCAAACAAGTTTGGATGATTGCAAACTTTTCTCAATTGCATAAGAACATTGATTACGCTCAGCAAATTTCCACTTGCTAGAGTTTCTTTCGTCCTGTAAAACAAAAATATTTCATTAGTTACATAATTTACAAAAATCTGTTAGTTATATTTGTAACTATAAACAAAATATGGCATTGAACATCAAAACATGAAAGTATTCGAAGAATGTTAAACTCGTAAAAATACTTTATTTTTACAAGATTGTTTAACTTTTCCATCACAAATAAATTTGGATGACGCACGTTTAAAACATGATAAAAAAAATGAAGTAAAGTTTGGTCTGTTCGGATCCGGATTGAGGGCGTGAACTTGGTAAAAATACGTTCCGACCTCACCTAGAATCTGACTCTTTAATATACTTCCCAGTTTAAAAAATTAAAACAAAACCGAAAGCCTAATAAAGGAGACGATCACGAAATGTTTCTGGGAAGAGTACAAGAACTGGCTTTTTCCTTTCAAAACTATTTTTAGAACACTTACTTTGCCCGGGACATGTAGTCATCATAAAGGAATCTCTGCCGCTTCGACAATCTGCACATAATAACGTGCTCGTACTTCTTTGGCATTTGCTTCTCCACTTCGGACTTTAACCTCCTCAGCAAGAAAGGCCTGAGCACCTGCAATAAAAATAACATAACAAATTAATTTTATGCTTCATTCACAATTCCTTAAATAAAATTTATTTAATTTTGTCTTCAGACAAATGCCTCGATTATCAACATTAATTGGAAGAGTTTGAATGGATACTCAATCCATCTGTGAGTGTATTTTATCATCATGTAAATTGAATTGTAATATTAAGCAAACAAAGAAAAATCAATTACCTTGTGCAATCTTTTGATAATATTCTCATTGTACTCGTTGTTTCCCTCGATCATCCCCGTGACAGGATTCGAGAACCATTCCTTGAACTCCCTGTGCGATTGAAACACGTTGGGCATCAAAAAATGCATGAGCGACCACAGTTCCATCAAGTTGTTTTGTAGAGGTGTACCGGTGAGCAAAAGACGTTGCTGCGTTTGGAAATTCAACAGCAGTTGCCACCTCTGCGATTTGAAGTTTTTGATGTTCTGAGCTTCATCGAGGATCAGGTACTTCCACTTCTTCCGCCGGAAACTCTGATGGTCTTGGATGACTAGCTTGTATGATGTTATACAGATGTGAAAGGCGTTGGGTTTCGTCCATCCGGTGCGCTTCATTTTACGCTCCTTCTGCGTTCCGTAATAGGTCAAGATCTTGAAACCCGGACACCACTTTTTGCACTCCATCTCCCAATTCAGCATCACGGAGGTAGGAACTACTATCAAATGCGGTCCCCAGTTCTCTGCAAATTAAATAATTCAATTAATATAACTTATTTAAACATGTACAATACAATAAGATATTTATTTAATAATGTTAGAAACAGGTCAGTTAACCTCCGCAGTAATAATCGGAAGCCAATTGGTACAGCTCTCTTTGCTCTCCTTTCTTGTGAAATTGTGCAAAACTTCGAATGCATTAAGCACATTGGATGTGAAAGGGTTCTATATACATAGAACTAAGTGAAATTGACGTTACGCAACGGTAATTACCTTTTTCGCATGCTAAATGAGCAAGCAACGCAATGGTTTGTATCGTCTTTCCAAGGCCCATTTCATCAGCCAGGATACCATTCAGTTTCCTTTCAAACATTGTCACGAGCCAATCCAAACCAATATGTTGGTACTCTCTCAATGGTAACTTCAGTAGGAACGGCACTGTTGTAACAACCTATAATAAATACAAATAATTAATATTTATACAATAAAATCGTTTTAATTAATGTTTCTTTTAAGTGAATTTTCAGACAAATGCCTCGATTAACATCAATATTTTGGTAGGAGTTGAATGAATGGATTTCTCCACCTTCAGTCGATTTGAATCATCATTTTAGTTATATTTTTTTTTGTTAAATTATATATTTGTACTAAGAAATTCACTTACGCTTGTGGAAGACAATGTGTTTCCTTTAGGTTGTATACTTTCTGCAATCGCAGCAGCATCATTGATAAGGTCATTGTTATCAGTCTTTGTATCTTCTCCCTCTTTAGTGTCGTCAAGTAGAGATTTCAATCCGACCTCTTTATCATCTTCTTCCTCAGCTTCGGATATCTCCATGGCGGGTAGTGGCAAGTCGCTTTCACTTCCAGAATCATCACCAGAGTCGCTACTGTCATCGCCCTCATCGGGTTCGTAATCAGACGACTTATTGCTAGTTTCTGTCGTAACAGCAGACATGTTAGAATCTTCCTCTGTTGCAGGCAAACTCGCGTACTTCCGTCGCAATTCTTCAATGTCCATCTCGGCTTCGGCATTCAGATCATCTAGTTCCTCTTTATGGTCTAGAGCGCCTTCTGCCTTCTCCTGTTCTTGTATAGTATCTTCATCGTCGTCACTGCTGAAATCTGCTTTGAAATCTTCATCTTTCTTTTTTGACTTTGATGGCTTCGAGCTACCGCTAGGCTTGTCATTGTCTTCATTCCCAGAACTTTCCTAAAAATAAGTTTCAAGTTTAATGCAATGTCACGGTTATAATTCGTAATTATATTGTTTGTGAGTCGTCAGACAAATGCCTCGTTTATAATCAAAGATTGGAATGAATTGAATGGATTTCAAACCATCATGAATTGTATATTATCATCATTTTAAATTTGGATAAATGTGTGATGTAAAGAAAATTGTACTTACTGCTTCATCTTCACTAGCACTCAATCTAATTTTATCCCTATTCTGTAAGTAGTCTTTGGGTAATTCACTTAGGAAGTCTTCAAAATCCATCTGTGATTCTCTCTGAAGAGCAGCAACTTCTTCACTTTTCTCAGCAGTATCTGCCGCTTCTTCCTGAGCGATCGTTTCTTCATCGTCACTATCATTTTCAGTGTCTGGTTGAAACTCATCTTTAAATAAATTTAATTAAATTAATGTTTATACTTCGTTTGAATGCAATGACAAATTTACCATCTGAATTTGTTCGTGAGACGGGATTGCTTACAGTACTGGTGTCATTAATCGGTTTGTTCATGCCTTCTGCTAGCAGCTGCGAGTATTTCTCCGTTTGGTCGACGATGAAACTCAAATGCTGGTCGAGAGCCTTTTTCCGCTTCTCCTCCAGTCGGGTGTTCTGTTTGTACTCTACCAGTTTCTCCACGTTGCTCCAGAAATTCTTGATTTCCTTCGCGCAGAACGCAGCCACCCGCCGAATGTGTTGCTCGTGTGCCTTCTCCGCCCGCTGCGCCGCTAAAGCCTTGTCCTGGAAATACTTTTGCACCATTCGAGCGCATTTCTTAGCAGCAGCCTTCTTCCATTTGCGCTCCTGCGCAAAATCCGCGGCCAACCACACCATCTCCTCCAGCAGGAAATCCCAATGGGCTTTCACCCTAGGCATTTCCTGCACTTTCGGCAACCGCTTCTCGCTCCACAGCCCTTCCTTCTGGAGATCGCTTATCCTCTGCACTACATACGCCTCCTGCTTCGCCTTCTCGACGATCTGCTCTTGATTGTTCGGCGGATTGGGAAGATATGTGACGGGAGTTTTGATCTTGTTCGTCGTTGTGGAGCTGCTGGTCTTGACGGGCTCTTTCTCTTGATGAGATTGTGCAGTGGAGGTGGTAGTGGTCGTAGTATGTACAACAGTCGGAGGTGTTGAGGTTGTCGGTACTGAAGCATGCGAGGACATACCAGGTAACGAGCTGACCGCCGTCGCCGTGGGCATCGGCGGCACAGTTTGACCTATGTTATTAGGCTCGTCCTGCTGGTACTCCTTGGGGTCTATAGCGTTCTCCTTGATGTAAGCAAGGAACTGCTGCGTCTTAGGCCGCTTGGCGAACTGATACAGGTCCAGGATGTTGCCTCCAACCTCCAAGTGATAATTCTCTAATAAATGTTCATTATACTTTTCCCGGACGATCTTCGAGCGCACATTCCTGTGGTTCATCACCCGCTGCAGCTTCGCCGCGTACGTGTCCTTCTTTTCCGGGGTGGCCGGAAGCGACCTTTTGATCGGCGTCCTCGCCGACGAAGATCTCGTCCCGCCATCGCCGAAGAGCTGCAGCCGCACGTTCGCATTAGGTCTGGATTTCGTGGTTAAAGCTTTTACAATACTCTGGTTCGTTTGGCTCGGTCGCAACTGCGATGACGTTGATTGACTACTCGACGGACTTATACTTATTATACGCGTTACGCCACCCTGTTGCAAATTCACATTTTGTTGGACTATACCTGCTGTTCCACTTATCTGAAACATTACAAAAACAACGATTATTAATCGAAATTTACATACATCAAATCAAAAATGAATTTTTCTTTTTTTGTATCAGACAAATGCCTCAATATAATCAGAACTTGGCAAGAGTTGAATGGATCTCTATACCATCATTGAGTGTATAATTTCATCATGTAAACTTCACCAAAAGCATACTTTTATCTTTAGAAACAAGACACCCTTCTAACAAAACTAACTTTTTCTTCCTACTATTACATTATCAAGTTACCCTTCAAATAAGTTTACAAGGAACGAAAATAACAATTTAAGGGCGGAAAGACAATATTCCATTACAATGATTCACTTTCCTACCTAGTATTATTTATGTAATTCTATAATAGTTGCAACAAATATTTTTGTTTATTTAAATTACAAAATTATACCAAAATAATTAAATACTTTTATTGATTAAAAGAACTTTGTACAAAGTATATAATTAGAACCCTAAAACCCAAAACAAATAAACGTAGAAGAAACTATATACCAGGGGTGGCCAGACTTTTTGCAACAAGAGCCGCACCTAAACTTTTTGGTATATATTTTTTTTTATTTCAATCTTAATATGAAATATATATAATATTTGTGTTTTGTTGTGGCTCAACTAGCCACAAGTCTCTTGAAGAGCCGCATGCGGCTCGAGAGCCACAATTTGGCCACCCCTATATACGTTACATTTATCAAAATTGTAACTACATTTATTTACATTAATCAATACAAAAACTTGCATTGATGTTGAATGAAGTTTTACTAGTTTGTTTTTAACACGTATAGAATTTCCAATTGTCGTTTTTTTTTAATGGTCAGGCATTGTGTATGATGAGAGAAAGGTGCGGAACGGTTAAAGTACAAAACAATAACATCGACGCAGGTGGAATTTGTAGCGGAAATGTGAGATTCGAGCCATTGCACTTTACTAACATTTTGAGGTACGTAAATATTGTGAAAGATGCAGATGGTTTGTTTGGTAATTCGTGAAGAACTTTACAAATTATTATAATCATGTTTGAACTTATAAATGGAAATACACTACTTATTAACTTCGTATGTTTACATAACAAAAAAGTAATTAAAATCAGTAAATAAACATCACTTATTTACTTCTAAAATCTTGGAAATTACATTATTTAGTATTTATTAAAATATTAAATTATTTTCAACATTAATTAAAAACATTTCCCGCTTTATAACGAATTAATAAAAAAAAAGTTACAAATACATTATTTCAAATATAAATTACGCAATATTCTGTAACATTGTAATGAATTTCAACAGTGAGATAGCTTTAAATACCCGCAAGGCTTCATGGTTACATAATATAATGTAACTTATAATAATATACATTATTTATAGAAGTGCAAAACTTTTCAATACATTCTTTTTTTTAATACAAAATAACCTTTCACTCTCAAACACGAAAATTATTTAATAAATCGATTAAGCAATAAAACCGCAGTACTTAAAGAAATTCTGAATGAAAAAATAATTACTGGTAATTCATCAATTCCAGTTATATCGATTTATATTTAATAAAACTAATAAAATAAGAAAAGCTATTGACTTATGTGTCATGCCGTGTATTTTTATAGGAATATCGGATTATACCAGTTATACGCGTAGGTCGTTGCATTAATACAAATATCTACAACTTTCTTGAATGTTGTTAAATTTATTCACAAGAAATTTCCACTTTAGTTAATAAGAAAAAAAGACGTATTTTCTCGCACAAATAACAATGTACTTTATCTACATCACATAATTATTCGTGAATCATCAAGCTATAAATTACCTCAGATTATTTACAGAGCTTTGCATGTTTGTATCAATGAAACAAAATGCAACACCAAGATGTAACTCTTATATATACTAGGTACCATTATATTTATCCGAAAGTCACCCATTCAATTAATATTCACATTGCTTAACTTTCACATTATAAAATTACACAATAACTGCGTAAAGTGAAAACTTAATTTATGTACATATTTCTAACAAAAAAATGAATCTTATATAATTGAAAAATGTTCAAAAAAAAAGTTCTTTTCAATTAAATTGAATCTATTTCATTTCCAAATAAATTAAAATACGATTTAATATTTGAAATAAAATGAATAATAGTAAATACTTCAAAGATTAAAAAAAATAAAATTTACCACGTGGTTTTCTGTATCCATTTTTGGAGGTTAGATAATATTCGTATTTATTTTTAATTTCTATGAAGGAACAACTTCTTATCAGGTTGGCTTTCAAACGTTTACAGATTTTGGCGCGAAACAACAGAAAATCCGTTAAGACGCGAACCACGTGTTTCTTGTTCATAGAAAATTCAATTTTTGTACTGACAAAAAATGCTTTCTGCCTTAATATAACTGTTTAATTTCCAAATATTATATTTTTTGTAAGGTTATGTCATGGTTTCAAAGAAAAAAAAACGTGCTTTTCGAGAAATTTTAAATAAAATATATAAGTTTTAGTAATTTGATAATTTAAATTTAGAAAATTTTATATTTTTTCAAATTACATATATGGTAATATGATGGAACTTACTTGAGTTAAGGCAGGTACTGAATGGGACTGAGTTGTGAGGACGTACTGGCCTCCAGAGACTTGGGTAAACCTAACAGGCCTGGAGGCTGCGCCCTCCCGCAGGGGCATGGAGCCGTGTCCTGCCCCTGGAGTTTCATCACTCATCGCCTATACTTCTGCAATAAGGAAAAAAAACATAGTTAAAGAGTGCTATGAGAGTAAAAGGTGAAATAAAAAGAGACATCTAGTTTTAAAAAGAGAGAGAGAAGTTGCTATGCATTACGAAGAGCAGATATAAAAATGTACAGGCTACCCTTACCGTTCACAAAGATTATGTTGAAGTTGAAGATCACTGCTAACAACATATCTGCAAGTTGCAAACACTGATTAACAAGAACATGGGGATGTTTACGGTAAGGGTCTACTGCAGCAAAATTGAGTTGTTTTTCTGTAAACAACGCAATGGGGAGAAACCTCACTCAGAATACAATAAAACAATTGGCGGTTTGTAAACATAGCAACATTTGGGCTGGAGTCGCTTGTTTAATGCGGCGAGGATTTTTGGCGGTAATAACCGGCGTCTTTGAAATTCGTACCTTTGAAGCTGGAGTTTCCGGATGTTTCCAAAAAATTAAGGTACAACTTTCGAGTTTGTTCTCTTTTTGGTTATTTAGTTTTTGTTGTTTTTATTGACTAGCCGGAATTGGTGTGCGCATATCGCGAGTGCAGAACAGGGAGTGATGAAAGAGATGGAGATGATGTGGAAATAGTAAAATTAAATGAAAAACGTTGAAGGTATGTTGTCAATGGTTTTGGTGATCTTGCGATCATTGGTATTTGGATGTAAATGGTAGGTATGGTGGCGAGTTGGCGAAGGCCGCACGCCGCGGCCTCGACGCCATTTTATCTTGAACGGCAACGGAAACTTACCATCATGTAATCACGAAATATCGACGCATTGGTGGGCCATCCGACTCTCAAAATACAAGGATCGTCTTCGGGGCGGCTCGCACTTGGTCCGGGTGTACCGCGTTTATGCCCAATCGCACGTAATTCGCCGCAATCTCAGCATTTTACCGCAGCTAAGGACGCCTCGTCCTTTCCAAACATGGCGACTGCTACTGGCCGTTCGTCGTCAATCCATCGTTGTGAAACGCCCCAACCCAAGCCAACTGGATGCAGATGCCTATACCCGGGCCGGAACACGCACGCCTAGCACGAGGAGAACGAGAGAGCGCCTGCGTAACATAGGCAACATCCCTGTGACCCCCCGCCATCACTTCCGGGGAAAAGGCGCACGTTTCAAAAAGCGACGCCTGGTGGGTCAGAGGACACGTCATCGATGCCAATCGACGTTGCGGACATGTCACATCTTTTGCCTATACCACAAACATATGCATTTTTCAGGAATCTTTCATGATCTTATTCACATTCATTACATAATGATGCAAAATTAACAATACTTAAGATAATCTGAAACATATTACAAATAAACAAGCAATATTCCTAACCTCAGCATCATTCAGGATCTCTTTCACATAACTTACAACATATTCCATAATTTGCTAAAACAGTCTTCCTGAACTATATACTTTTATATTTATTTTTCAGGCATCATTCAAGATCTCTTTCACACTACCTGCACAATGTTGTATTACAAACATAACTAAATAAAGTTAACAATGCTTGTTATATCTACAACTTATAACATATTCCTCAATTTGCTAAAGCAGTCTTTCTGAACTATACAGTTTTACATGTATTTTTCAGGAATCATTCACGAACTCCTTCACACTACTTGCACAATGTTGTATTAAAAACTAAATAAAATTAACAATTTGTGTTATATCTACAACTTACAACATATTCCTCAATTTGCTAAACAGTTTCCTGAACTATATAGTTTCAGTTGTATTTTTCAGCCATCATTCAAGAACTCCTTCATATTAACTGTACAAAGTTGTATTAAAAACTAAATAAAGTTAACAATGCTTGTTATATCTACAACTAAGATACAAAAAAAATGAAAAATACAATAATCCATTGTTTTATTACTCTCAACTTACAATATATTAACAATGCTTGTTATATCTACAACTTACAATATATTCCTCAATTTGTTGAAACAGTATTCTTGAACTATATAGTTTCAGATGTATTTTTCAGCTATCATTCACGAACTCCTTCACACTACTTGCACAATGTTGTATTAAAAAC